AGATAAATGGTAAGTCAAAGGACTAAACTGCAACAATGAAAGATCTTTCTTGGCTTTATTTTCGATTCTAGAATTGAGCAACAATTCATTTCATAAAACAGAATAAGTGTTCCAATGAGCTGAGCAGAGGAGGTTGAACTTTTACTTTTAGACAGAAAAGGGCTAAAGAAAGCAGAAGCAAAACCAAAAAGTAGGTTGGCCATTTCAGTTACTTTCCTTACAAGGAGGAGACAGGGAGGCACAACAAAAAGGTAACTAGTTACCAGGTTATTTATTTTTTTGGTGGCAAACATTAAAGGCAGAAGGACCCTCATCATCATTCTAGTTGGAACTGGCCACTTTGGGGAATTTGGCTGCTATTTCTCGAATCCTGATTTCTCAGGTCACTTAAACGGCTTAGTTTCAGCTTGGTGAAAGATGCAATTTTAACGTGAGTGACTCCATTGACTTTTAGCTTGGTTAAGCACAGGAGCTTAACCCAAAACACTGGCCTCATGCTGATAGCATATGCCTGTAATCTCAGCACTCCGGAGGCTGAGGCAGGAGAAAAAAAAATGGCTGCCTGGAATTTTTATTTCAAGTGAGGTGTTTATACTCACAACACTTCTGATACCAAATACGAGTTTTTTGTTTTTTCCCTACACGAAGTTCTCTGACTGTCCAGATACCTCCTGGGTATTCAATTCAATTCATCTACCTCTAGTTAGTGCCTGTCAGATCCTATATGTTATTGGACTCAGTCCCATAAGACTACCCCTACTTCTGATATCAGTTGCAAGTCTCCAGGAACCACCCCTGATTCTGATGAACTATCAATGCAGGCTGTCTACAGCCCCCTCCTTGGGTGTGATGATTTGCTAGAATGGCTTGTAGACCATTATGTTTATCAGTGTATCATAAAGGATACAACTTAGGAACAGCCAAACAGAAGAGCAAGGAAGGTGTGGGGATGGAGAGCCAATATGTTCACATATCTGGAAGTTTATCACATGTCATTATTCAAGAGTTTTTATGGCCTTAGTCTCCAGGACCCCCCCCCCAACCCAGAGGTCAATGAGTGGGGCTGAAAAGTCCAACCTTTTCATCCCTTGTCTTTTTCCTATTACCAGGCACCCTTTGGCTAGCTAGGAGCCCTGTTCTAAGTCATGGTCAAAAGGGGCCCATCATGAGTAACAAAGGTGCACCTGTCACTTAGTAAATTCCAGGGTTTGAGCTCTTTGCCAGAGTATGGGGACAAAGACCAAATATATTTCTTTCTATAGCAGTCCCCCTTATCCACCATTTCCTTTATGAGGTATCAATTACCCAGTGTCTGAAAATATTACATGGAAAAATTCAGAAAAAAATCGTATTTTAAATTACACACCATTCTCTGTAGCCTGGTAGCATCTTGTGCTGCTCTGCTCCATCCCAGGATGTGATGCATGCCTTTTCCCAGTGAACCCACCCTCTAGATTTTACTCTAAATTAGTCTCTCTGTAGCCATCTCAGTTATCAGATTCACTGGTGTGGTCACAGTGCTTGGGTTCAAGTATCCCTTATTTTACTTAAGAATGGCACCAAAGGACACCAACAGCGATACTGGCAATTGGGACTTGCCAAAGAGAGGCAATGAAGTACTTCCTGTGAGGGAAAAAAGTGGAGTTCTCACTGCAGGAAAGAAAATCGTATGCTGAGATGGCTGAGGTGTACGGGAAGAACAAAAGTTCGATCTGTGAAGCAGTGATGAAGGGAAAGGAAACATGCTCGTTTTGCTTTTGAACCTCAAACTGCAAGTGACGGCCACAAAGCATGACAAGGGTATAATTAAGATGGAAACGGCATTGAATTTGAGTATGTATGTGTAGGGGAAACGGGAGATAGGTAGGGCTTGGGACTTGCCAAGGTTTTGGGCACCCACCAGGAGTCTTAGACTGTATCCCTGAAGGGGGGTGCTGTCTACCATTGGGAAGACTGAGACCTGCTGCAGAGTGACCATTCACTGTCTATTCAAGTGGCCCAGATTCGGGCACAGTTACAGGACAGCCTTACCTGGTGCAGGGAAATGAAGGACTAGAGTCCACGGCTGAGGATGCTGGGCTTTCTCGTGACTGCAATGTCATTTTTTTTTTTTTTGGTGGAACTGGGGGTTTGAACACAGAGTCTCAGGCTTGCTAGGCAGGTGTTCTTACCTTTTGAGCCATTCCACCTGCAATGTCATTTCAGTCCAGACAGCAGGTGCCCACCCAGAGGAACCGGCAGGAAGTGGTGATAATCTCCTGGGCTCCCGCAATGTCATTTTCATTATTACCTCTTTTCCCTATTGGTCAGAGGAATGTGTAAGGTCAGCTTCAAAGTACCAAATGGAACAGTGAGCTGACATTTCTCCTGTCCCCAGTCTAGCACAGTGCCTGGCACTAGGAACACACAGGAACCATGTGTGCAGTGGGTCTGAGGGATGCAGGAAATGGCTCCTCCTCCCCCAAAGAATCAGGGAGGCTGACAGAGCTCTGACCTTGCTGTACCCTTCTACACTCCAGAGTGCCAGCCAGTTGTAGTCCAGATGGCTGCTGAAGTGTGACATGAAGAACACAGCTGCCTCAGACCACGGAAGGAAATGCCTCACACTCAGCCCTAATGGACAGATGCAAGTAGCAGCCATACAGCTGTTCCAGCAAGTCATCAAGGAAATGAACTTCCCAATTACTAGGCCATACAGCATGGAGAGAGATATTCCAAAGTACATTTGAAAGCCTTTTTGCTTTCCATACTGGACTTGCCAACAAAATCTAATTAGCTTTCAGTGATAAACTATAAAGTATTTTCTTAAAAGTGATGATTGGAGGCTGGGAATGTAGTTCAGTGGTGTAGTGCTTGCCTAGCACATACTGAGTTCAATTCCCAGCACTGCAGAGGGGGAAAAAAAAATGGCAGTTGGAACTTTGACCCTAACTTATGGATGGCTTTCCTTTTGAGTTTATCACATATCAGAAACATATTTGAAACTATGCATTCTTCTCCTTACAGACACGTTTTTAAATCTCGATTCAGTGAAAGGTTATTTTTCCTGATCAGCTGGTGTAAATGACATTAAAAGACAAAAAGGTACGAAGGGAAAATTTGTGCTTTCTCAAGAATTTCTCTTGAGACATACAGAGCAGCTGAGGAGGCCTGGGCACTTACCCCAAAGGGCAGGGGTGGCGGGGGGAGGGGGAGCAGTGGAGAGGCTTACTGGTGTCCAACCACTCTCGACTGTGGTAGAGAGCAGAAACCTGGCTTCACCATGAAAGGTCATGATTTAAGAACTCCCACTGCCCAGAGAAAGACATGAGCAAAACTTTCTGGGTTTTTATTGACCAACCCTTCAAGAGGCTGGGAACTGATTCTTCATTTCAAGGAAGTGCCACCCAACAGTCCAGGTGTGTTCACAGGGGAGGTAGCTGTGATTTGTATCTGTATACCCTGAGGGTTGCTTTAATAAAGCAACCAAGCACACTATTCACAGAGCTGACAGACCCTAACCTTGTGTGCAAACTCAGCTTTCTCTGAAGCTGGGTGCTATGGTGTATGCCTGTAATCCTAGCACTCTGGAGGCTGTGGGAATAAGATGAGCTTGAGGTTATCCTGGGTTACATAGTGAGACCCTGTCTCAAATAATCAAAACAAAAAACCCACCTCAAACCCAATTTCCTTTGAAAGTCCGTCTCCTGCTTCCTATGATCAGGATCAGGAAGGAGGGCTGGATCTCCACAGGCGTTGCTTCTATTCCTGACACTGCATTAGTTCTACAAAGTGCCTGCTCTGAAGTCAACTACCTTTTGTTTCCTCTTTTTTCCCCTTTTCTTTTGGTGGTGCAGGCCCTCACACATGTTAAGCAAAGGCTATATTGCTTAACTACAACCTCAGCCCTCTTTTGGAAGAAACCAGGGTGAATGCATTCCAATGAGGTGTTCTCCTTCACAACTGAATTTCTCCTTCAAAAGGAAGACAGTGGAGAGATGTCGCTGTGAGCCCGGGTAGGTGGGTGGCTTATGTAGCCCAGGGACAATTCATGGGCCAAAAGCATTGTCTTAGTGTTCAGTGCCTTGCAGTGGTCTCTACTTTAGATGTCAGAATATGAAACAAATCTGTCCCTTATCAATCTGTTTACTCAATGTTGCTAAGTATAATGACATTTTCAAAGGACCTGAGCTAGGAAGAGCGCTGTGATGGAATATTCCCTGAATAAGTGCACTTTCCTTACAGTAAACAGTAATGAAAGTTCACTGTCATCTTCTTGTGCTAGCCTATGGGCAAAAAATATGGTATTGGAAAAACTTATTTTCTTGCCTATCATCACTTCCTATTATCTTTGAGGTAGTCTTGAGATTTCAGAAATGTCTTTATTATTTTTACTTTTTTTTTGAGGTCTCATATTGCCTAGGCTGGTCTTGAACTTCTAGTTTCAAGTAATTCTCCTGCCTTAGTCTCCTGAGTAGCTGGGACTACAGGTGTGTAACCACCACGCTCAGCTGTTATTGTGTAAAGCAGGATGGAACTTTAGTTCATCTGACAGACCGGGAAAGGCTGGTTATCTGCTCAAAGCCACACAGGTGGTTGTATCTGGCACAGATCCTGGACTCCTGGCATCCAGGGAAGACCACTCTAGCTGCCAGGCTGCTCTGGGACTCCTAGGCAATGTTGCTGGATCAATGCACATCAGCCCCAAACAGTCCAACAAACCAGATGCCAAGAAAGTCTTTTAGTTGTCTTTCTTCCTCTGATGAGTCTAAAAGGTCCCTCCCCTTAAGTGGAGCAAATATTCTAGACTTCTTCTGCCAGAGTAATGAGAAGAAAAATAAATCCAATGAATGAATGTTCAGACTCTAAGCAGTTTCGGATTATTGTTTTAGAAGGGTACCATAAAACTTTTATAAATAATAAACAAGAGATAGAGGAAAGTACTCAGTATTAATATATGGCTAAATACATTTTTCTAAATATTCTCACAGCAAAACAAAAAAAAGCTATCAATATTTTTTATTTCTAAAGCCAAATTTAATAAATAAACGCATGCCAATAAAAATACAAAATTACAACTAAAAACCAATAACTTAACAGAAAATGCTCTGTGTTGTACATTTTTATTGGTAGGGTAACTTATTAAAGTAATAGATCTGAAAACACATCTTGCTTTTGCTGTTAGAGCTAAGAGGAACCAGAGAGAAGCCACCTGTGAAGTCGGCGTGTGAGACATCTATGCAATGCAATAGCCAGGGGTGCTGCTTATCCGCTTGTGTGTGCATGTGTGTACAAGCATCCGAAACCAATGGCAAGGACCCCAAAAGCAGTCACGACAGTTTACTCTGGGAAACATGCTGGGTGATGACCACAGGCCGGGACGGAGAGGCAGTGCAGGCGCAGGTCTGTTCCCTTGGTGTGGGGTTTCCTTACCAAACAAGGGTAATCATGCAATAGCTTGTGTTTTTCTTAACATGATAAACACCCAGGATTACGAGAACTGGAAAGCATGTGTTCACTGTTTTACAAGGACAGCAGGGTGGCGCTACAGAAACGACAGAAAGATCCTTCATTTTAATCTGGTTATTTGCCCAAACCTCTAGCCAAGAAATAATGGAGCCAATTATATTACTATAAAACATTCCTTCATCTGTAGAACATTTCTTTCCCCTTCAAAGTGAAAATTTAAAATAAAATATCTTCATTTTTGATCAGCAGCTCCACCACCAGTCTCTGATACCGGATATCATTCAGTGCGGCCATTGCATCTAGTTCAGGAGATCTCATTAGGGTTGGCCCAAACACGATCCCAAGGTTCTCTGCACTCATCAGATTCTCCTTCTCATGGAGGGTCACTCTGAAAAACAAAGTGGAGGAAGAATGACTTGTGAGCCGGGGGTTTTCCTGGAGCCTGAGCGCTAAAACAAATGCCTGATTCACTATAAAGGCTATGACCACTCATCAACTCTTGTGCAGGTTATTTCTCTGGACTTCAAAGCCCTGACTTGTCTTAAGGTAGAGTGTGACGGTGAACACTGAGGTGAGTGCACCAGGCTGTGTGGAGCCAAGTGTGGGCGGGTTCTCCTCCCCCCCCCCCCAAAACAAGGGCACAATTTGCAAGAGAAGAGAAGGACCAGGCCACACTGACTGTTCCATCTGCCTCTCCATGCTGGCTCTCTTGCTTCCTGTGGAGTGTTTTTGTAAGATGAATATTTGAGTGTCTAGGAGAGAGCAGTGCTATAGTAAAGGACATGGTTCAGAGGAAGCAAAATTGTCAGAGGTCTGTTTGGTTTCTCTTCTCTTCTCTTCTCTACTACAATAGCAGAGACTATAATTTGAGTTATTCCTTTGTTTTAGTGTGGAACACTTAATTACACCCAAATAGGAAGCAAACTTGAATTTCTGGGTAGAGTTGTAAGCATACGTAACAAAGATTTTAACTCATGATCCTTCTAAAGAGGGAAAGTACAAATATCCACTAGTAACTGAAATATCAATTTTGGTAACTCATGCCTTTTGGCAGACAAAACTTGTTTCTAATTGGAACTCTATATATTTTGGAACCCTAAAATCACTGACAGTTAAGTCATTTAACTGAAAATTTTGCTTCAACTGGTAGTGACTGAGGGTGACCAAGTAGGCATAAAGCTACATCATCACCAGTCACTTTAAAGCTTTAAATCCAAACTAATCGAAATACTGTATTTTCCATTCTTCCTTTACCCCATCACTTTTTATGCCAGTTTCTAGTGTTGGTAACATTAATTCAATAATCTAAAATCTCACAGCCAAGCTTAAAGTGCTTACTTTGCAACAAGAAGAAAAGGGAGGCGCCTTGCAAATTGCTTTGTTCTTACTTTACAATGCTAGCTGCAACCCTTCCCCTTCTACAAAAATTAATGCATGTCCTTGGCAGAAATTGGTGTTTTTAGCATATTTGCAAACCTGTACTGGGACAGCAAATACATTGATGTCATAGTCAGGTGTCTAAGCAGTATCATAGTGCTGAGTATTTTTACCACTCCTTTTCAACTACTGCAACTTCTCAAGACAATACAGCCGTGCATTTCCTCATCCACACAACAGACCGCTTGTTCTTTCTTTCACCTTCACTTCATCTGACTAGAAATCTGCATGCAATGCAAGTGTAAGACTCCAAGTCCGTAGCTCACCTCTTCAGATGTGCCATGAGGTACCGGAGGGTTTCGCAGTGAGCCGGCGGCAGTAGTTTCAGTGCTTCATGAAGGGTTTCCAATTGCTCATCAGGATCCATCATTTCTAGAACAGCAAGATGAACACCAGAGAGAGAGAAATGCTTTACCCGAAAACTGGTAGGAATGGCTCACTGACTACTATTCTGTGATGTTCTTCTAAAACTGGTAGAAAGAAAATGCTTTCTCACAGGTTCTTGCCTAAAGCTTTGGAAAGTATTTTTAAGGTTTAAGCCACAGATTTCCAAAGGCTCTTAGTTCCAGTGTGGACTTGGACTTTGTGGGGATTATACACTCTTTTCACTTAAGTGTCTTATACCTGAGTGTTTAAGAGTCTGGCAATTATGAAAAATGGACATTGGATATTCAGGAGGTAACTATAAAAAGTTCACACACATGTAGTCACAGATAAAACCTTATGCATTCAGGTTGATGGAATGGCTCCAGTGGTTGAGCACCTGCCAAGCAAACGTGAGGCCCTGGGTTCAATCCCCAGTATTGCCAAACAAACAAATACCGTTATACATTCAAATGAGGCAATCCTGGAACACTACAGACATACTTAAGGGATGACATACTGTGACCCCTGGCAAAGTCTTACTGATATTCATACTTTTCTTGGTATATATGTGTGTGACTCTAGGGATGGAAGGGCCTTACACAGGCTAGGGAAGCACTTTACCACTGAGCTATACCCCCAGCCCTTTTTCTTTATAAACCAAGAAATGTACCATCCAACGTTTACTTCATTACACTTAGTTTTAAATTACTTGGTGTTACAGTAAAAAAAAATTAGATATCCCTTCAAAGCACAAGCACTTTCTGTTTCTTAGGATGTGCAAAAGAACACACTACAGGTTTTGAAGGCACTTCCAAATGTTCTGCATGATGGTGGGATCTTTGAAATAATGGTGTCAACTTTGAAGGGAACATGTTCACTTGAGTATTTTAGATCTACTGTGTGGGCCAAAACAACAGCTCATTCCTTTGAGGTGATAGGTTGGATTTGATTCATTGATCATGTCTATAATCAGAAATGGTTGACATCTTTGGAATTTTGTGCTCTTAAAAGAGCACCACAGCATGTTCTTGTTCTAGGGAGATGGGGTGCCTTTAAATGCTGGGCTTCAGCATTTAAAGCAATTGTAAAAGGAACCCATACTGCTGAGTCCTAATCAGCATGGCAGCCTTGAAAAACTGGGAAGGTTTCATCTGACTAGAAGGTAATGTTCAATACAAGACTAACATCCTGGTCTCTCTTATAAACCAACCAACTCAGTGGAAACTGTATTGGAGTCAGATAAAAACTGGCATGAGTGTGAGAAGTTTCTAGTGTTGGCAGAGCAGATTTGATAAATTTCAGAATATGAACAATGACTGAAAGCTTTTTAACTCAAAAGAAACTTTGGCTAGTTTACAGTGTCCATCCAAAGCTTCCTCAGTTCCTTCACCTGGCAATGAAGAATACATTTACTTACCTTTTGTCATCATAAATAATTTGTGGCCTCTGAACTTTGGGACCCTGAAAGAGTGTCAGTTCATAGCATCAGTACTATCTCAGACACTGACATTCAATAATCTAATTTCTAGAACTTAGAGGAAAAGTTCCATTTACTATGGAAAACAACTTGAGTTTTTAACATAGGTTAATTAATGTGAAAGTACATGATCCTACAACTGGAAAAAAATGTCCTTTTAAGTTCTACAGTTAGTCTTTGCAAGGAGAAGTGGGAAACAGTGTGAGATTAAAACAGTGTTGCAGGATGGCAAACAAGGATCCCTGCTCATGGAACCTTACCTTCTACTAGAGGGTGTCTGACAACAGTGACACTTACCGAGTACAAGAATTGAGGCAAAATTAAAACCACACTAAGATTCCACCTCACCCCTGTTAGAATAGCCATCATTAGCAACACCACTAACAACAGGTGTTGGTGAGGATGTGGGGGAAAAAGGGAACCCTCTTCACTGTGTAGGTGAATGTTAAACTAGTACAGCATCCACTTCGGGAAAAAAAATTTGGAGCTTCCTTAAAAAGCTAAACATTGATCGTACCCATTTGAATCCAGCAATACCCTTCTTTGGGATAATACCAAAAGACTGTGACACAGGTTTACTTAGCCAGAGGCACCTGCAACCATCGTTTATTGCGGCACTATTCCACAATAGCCAAGTTATGAAAATAGCCAAGATGCCCACCACTGACGAATGGATTAAGAAAAATGTGGTATCTATACACAATGGAATTTTATGGCAGCATGGAATGAAACGAAATGTTATCATTTGCTGTAAATGGATGGAATTGGAGAAATTCATTCTGAGTGGAGGTTAGCCTGGCCCAACAAGACCAAAATCTTATGTTAGGACTGACCCTATATGCGGACATTAGAATCAAGGGCAAACAAAAAGGGGATTGGACTTTGATCACAACAAGGATAAAGCGAGTGCAACAAGGGAGATATGAGGAAGGTAAAGACACCTAAAAAATTAGCTAGCAATTTTGTTGGGCCCTCAAATGCAGAGGAAACTAAAGCAGTACCTTAAGCAAACTGAAGCCAATAGGAGAAGGGGACCCAGGACTAGAGAAAAGTTAGATAAAAGAGAATTAACCTAGAGGTAACACACATGCACAGGCAATTAATGTGAAGTTCCAACTCCCTGTAATATAGCATCTTTAATCCCTCAACTATTGCAAAAACACTTGTAGCTCCTTCCTAGTAAAATGTGCTTTATTACTCTCCTCTCAACAAAATGAGATAAGCGCGCAAAACATAGTTGTTCCCTGCTGGGTAATGGGGGGGGTGATGGGAGGGGGCGGAGTGGGGTGGTAAAGGAGGGGGGTGGGGGCAAGGGGGGGAAGAAAGTGACCCAAGCGAGTTGGTAATGCACCTAGATGTGAATAATAAAAAATAAACCCATTAAAAAAAAAAAAGAATTGAGGCAAGCGCTATGGGAAAATCAGAGTAGGAAGCATTGCAAGAGATGGGGATTTGCAGTTTTAAATTGATGGCCAGAGAGAAAGGACTTCAGTAAAGACTGAGGGAGTAATGGAATGAACCATGTGGAGATAGGTCCAGGCAGAGGAGTGGCCATGTAATACTTTGAGGAAAAGTGGAGCCAAATGTGGCTACAGAAGATGGGGGCAGGGGGGAGAAATGACCCAAGCATTGTATGCACATATGAATAATAAAAAAATAAAAATTAAAAAAAAAAAAAGAATTGAGGCAAGCGCTATGGGAAAATCAGAGTAGGAAGCATTGCAAGAGATGGGGATTTGCAGTTTTAAATCGATGGCCAGAGAGAAAGGAGTTCTTTCATCAAGACTGAGGATAATGGCATGACATCATGTGGAGATAGGTCCAGGCAGAGGAGTGGCCATGTAATACTTTGAGGAAAAGTGGAGCCAAATGTGGCTACAGAAGAGTATGAAGTAAGGACAGAAAAGTAACAGGTGCTCTCTCTCATGCCAGCAGCTGAAGGCAGCTCTAAAGACTCAGCATCTACTGAAAGAAATGGGAAGTGCTGTCACCTGATGTTTTTGTCATTCTCTCTCCTCTGGCTGCTGTGCAGAACATCAGGAAATGGCAAGAGTAATGGTAGAAAAACCATCAGCAATTACTAAAAAAATCCAAGGGAGGATTAACAGTAACTTGAACCAGGTGGTAATGGTGAGGTCACAGATGTTGGATTCTGGGTGTATTCTGAAGGCAGAATTTGCAAGATTTCCTGATGAGGGATGTGCAAAGGATTGCATGTATGAGGGATGGAGGAAGAATCAAGGACGAATCAACTTTTGGGCATAGGTCTGGTGGACAGTTCCACTTGAGATGTACATACTAAACAAATCACGTGGATTAATTCAGAGAGAGAGCATCTGTATCTCTTGGCTGGAGGTATAAATTTGGGAACATACAATAAAATGTATTGAATGTACTGGTAGAAATTGACAAGAAATTCTTCCTTGGAACTCATTCCTCCTTTTCTTCCATGCACAGAAGTATTGCCCATTGTCAATTTTTTGGAGAACACACTCTTTAGCCATAAGGCTACAGCATAACTTAAGAGGACAAAATAGAACGTATTCAGAGGTGAATGGCCATCATCAGTTGTCATCGAATACAGAAAGGCTGGCGTGAGCAAGAGCATGAGGACAGTGGCACTGCTTGTAGGAGGGCATTAAGGGCAGGCAGGTTTCTGTTGTGCACAGAGGGCTTTATGGCCATCAGATCTGTCCTCCACTAGTAGACTGGCTGCCTAAAGAAGTAGTGACCTTTTAGTTACTAAGCATTTCAAAAAGAATGTGTCATAGTAGGAAATACAGCCACATGACCCCTTAGAGTTTCTGTGTAAAGACTCAGAGTCTGCAGTTCTCAATGTAAAATTAAAAGTTTGCACTTATTATGTGAGGGACTAACACAGGCACTGTGAAAATACCACATGACATGACTATAACCTGCCACCAAGAGGGAATGAGGCTGGAAAGAGGCTCATTGGTTTCAATGGAAACCAATGGAGAAAGATGGCCCTTGGACAACAGGTCTGGAGAAGAACAGGTGGCACTTGAGAAGGGCTTGAAAGGATCTGGAAAATGTGGGGTCAGAAAGTAAGTACTCTGAGCCTGGCCAATTTACTTACACTGTAAAACATTTCTTTAACATACCTTAGATGTAAAGTGGCCTGACTTGTGACACCTACTATATACTCTAATGGTTACCTTCTCTCATCTTCCTTATGTGCCTTTTAAGAGATGCCCATGTCTACACATCTAAAGAATGAAGGTGACTCTACTGCTGCAAACGACATGCACAAGAATGTGATGTTCCGTAATGCCATCACTATCCAGCATGTGCTACAATGTTACAGAACGACGAGTTATTATGCCAGGGTTTTTGGTGTCAGAAATCACACATTAAAATGGTAGAGATAAGAAGGGGCTAACTGACTTCAGACAGGAAGGCGGGCTAACTGACTTCAGACAGGAAGGCTATTTCAGAAACAAATCACACAACAATGACAAATGGTTTGGAAGAATAACAAAAAGGGTGCGTGTGGGGAAAGAAGGCGAGGTCATCCAAAAGTGTGCGGCCAAAGGCCTCGGAATCCAATGAGGAGGCTTGGATGCTATCTAGGTAGGATGGTTGTGTAGGGTTTGAATTGGGTTTTGAATCACTGCTTCCTCCTCTGGAACTCTATGCTCTTGGGTTAGACATAAAGCCAAGTTTTAATTTTACTTCCAAGTAACAGGGGGAGAGGAACCTCTACCTATCTACTTTACCCTCAGTGTTAGCCTGGGGTTGGAGCAAACTGGACAAAGCAGCCATTCACAGTGCAGGTGATTTCCAGGTTGGTGCCAATCAGACTGAAGAGCTCTCTGGGGAGGCAATATTTGCCCCACAAAACAGGGGCCCATAACTCCCTCAGGCAGGGTTCGTGATCAGCATTGGGTCCATCTCAAGATAAGAGGAGTTAAATACTAAGGAGGAGACCCAGAATCTTTCATGCTCTCTAACTTTTTAATCAGTGCAATTCTCACGTTGTTCTCTACATGACCAGAGAGAAATCAGGGTTCTGAGAGCCTAACCACAAAAATTCTCAATAAAAGCTCTTAAGGAAAAACCAAAAATCCAAACAAAGAAAGTTTGTGCTTCATGAGATTCAAAGTCAAAAAGCAAGTCAATGTTACTAAGGAAGTGATACTATTATTATTACTAAGATCAAGACGACATATGGTTTTAAAGAGAGAAAAGCAAAATGACAGAAATAGTCTATCTTTTCTAAAAAATAGTAATGCCAACATTTAAAATCTGTTGAGTTCCCTCCTTTAAAAAGTGAAATGTGAATTACAGGTATGATTTTTGCAGCATAAACAAAATTTGCCAAATAAGCCTTTGCTTTTTCTCATTTTCACCTCAAACAGAATTTAAAAAATAACTTCTTGGGCTGTGTGTATATCTCTAACAAAATGACTGCCTAGCTCTCTCAAGATGCCCTCATTTTGGAGATGGGGTTTTGTGAACTATTTGCTTGGGCTGGTCTTGAACCTAGATTCTCCTGATCTTAGTTTTCCAAGTAGCTAGGATTATAGATGAGAGCCACCAGAACCTGGCCAAGATCCCAACTTCTTAAAAACAAAACAAGAAAACCTTCTTGAATTAAAATAGTGCACCTTACAGGATAATTTACAGAGCAATGCTAGTATGTAAACTGTTTGCTAAAGGCCTGCATACATAGGGTAAGTTCAGAAATTGAGAATAAGTGTTTAGAAACTTTTATAGCAACCTGACAGTAAGTTTTGAGTTTGCTGCATCTAATAACAAAGTAGTTGGTCTTATTTTTAAATTCTATTTTTCTAGAAAGTTACCCATCTTTATTTTATTTTACAAATGTGTTGGTCCGTATCTAAGAAGTACTGGTATAAGCTTATTTTGGAAAACTAGTACATTATAAAGAAGCTGCTGATGGTACAAATCATGGAAAACCCAAGTTAGAGAAGAGTGCAAAATTCTTGCGAGTACATTAACCAGAGAGGGGTGCAAGGGAATTGCTTCATAAAACACACTCAAAAACTCAACAGTAAACTAGGAAAAGTGGTTCCTGAGAGAGGCAGGGTTTGGGGCCACATGCATTCATGCTTACTTGCAGACTCTATAAACTTGGGGTAGGCATCGTACGTGATGAGTGGAATTGGCAAGTCCCTGAAGTACAGTTTAAGCGCACCAGTGATAATGTTGATATCTTCATACATGTTCACAGAAATATCTGCCTTCTCACCATCTTTAAGGATGTTAAGAGAAACAAAAGTAAATATATGAATTTCAAATGAAGGACATTTTGGTATATGAACAGATTTTAAAGATAAGCAATGCTTCAGTTTTTAATATCACATCTGCTGTGAAAAACAACACATATTAATGACCAATTTCACTGAAACACCAAAACATTTTCTAATTTTCTCTTCTGAAGTTACTTATTTTTCCTTGCTTAATTATGGACAGAAGTTAGGAGAGGACTGAGGTGAAATACCTTTCAATTTCAAAGCCACTTGAGAATTTTTAGGGAAATAATGCAGGATTTTTTATTTCCTGTTTTATATACACATAAGTTTGTAAAAAAGAGCAACAGAGACACTTCCAACTTATAGAAGATCTCCAGTACAAAAGGCCCCTTTGTTTTACCTTAGTCTCCTGCATATAACATTTGAATTTTGACCCCTAGGGGAAGGGGAGGCAGTGAGAAGTAAAAATAAATAAATAAATAAATAAATAAATAAAATAAAAGCAAAACCAAAACAAAAGAACCCAAATCAACAAAAATCCAGGAGTTGAGAATGTTGAAACAACAAGAGAAAGCATTATAACATGGGAGAATGTTTTAGAGGAGTTAGGCCCTCTGATTCTGAAGCAAGACTGGTCTTCAAAGGAGCCCTTACATTCTGCCTGCACTGAGTACTTTACCTTGTTATATCTGAACTTGCATCTACTGAAGACTTAGTAAGTGTCTATTCTGAGCTAGATCTTATGCTAGATTTCTTGTATTTCATTTGATTTATGAAAGATTCTTATGAATTACAAAACAGACTTTTCATTGCTATTCAAATGGCTGTGATCCCAAACCTTGACAACATCAAATGCTGGTGAGGATGTGGAGGAACAGGAACGCTCACTCACTGCTGGGAATGCAAAATGATGCAGCCACTTAGGAAAGTCAGGCAGTTCCAGTCAATCCAGCAATGCACTGGTAGGTATATACCCACATGAGCTGAAAACTCATGTCCACACAAAAACTGCACAAAATTTTACAGACACTTTGTTCATAACTGCCCAAAAACCTGGAAGTGAATAAGGTGTCCTTCAACAGATGAACAGATTAACTACAGTATATCCACAATTTAGCAATAAAAAGATATGAACTCTCAAGCTACAAAAGGACATGGAGAAATCTTAACCACATAGTATTGTTAAGTGACAGAGTCAGCCCAAAATGGCTTCATAATGTATGATTACAACTATGTACTTAAGGCTATAGTTATTCTTTAGTCCCAACTTATTGCAGTACTCAAAGCAAAGCCAAAGTAAGAGAGCCACAAAAACAAATCTTAATTTAAATGTATTTTATAAAGCCCCACCGAGCTTCTCTTTGACTGGACCCCTCCTCCCACAGTGGGATAGGGCTATGCCAGAGGGTCCTCAACTACTCTGACCTTTCTGGCCCCAACACATGAGTCAAAACATGAATTTCAGTTAGTCACAGATGGTGATGAGGATGCCTTGGAAGCATGGGTGACAGCATAGCTGGGCAGGCCAAATGAGGCCCAGAATATCTGAGATCTGTTAAGATTAGATCCCCTTCCTACCTTTTTTCTAGGTAATTGAGCTGTATGTCTTTTGGTAAACACGGATCAGTCTTGGATACTCAACTGGTGATCTAGTTAAGCTTTATGTTTTTTTCTCACAGTGAATTTTGACACTTTTAACATTTATAGCTAATACAAAAATTAGAAACTGTAAGTTGAGTCTTTTTTGGGGTGTAATAACCATAAATAATTTAGAAAAATAATGCAAAGAAGCTGCCGAAAGAAACTGTAAATTTTTGGCAAAGAGTATGACTGTGCTAAGCTGATGACTGTGCTAAAGAACATACCTCGGTCAAAAGCCATTTTGACATCTTCAATTAGGTCACTAAATCCTGACACTCGGTATAGTCCTTCAGAGTTCAGACCTGTAAGTAAGTAAGTGGAAGGAAGGAAATAAGCTAATTAGTTTCTTTGGACTGTCCTTTTCTTCAGGCTGGAAGCAATGTGCCAGAAAGAATAATGAACTATGAATGATTAGAAACCTTTTCACACCTTTATCTTAAAATAAAACCTTCACAGTCACAGTTCTTTAATTCTGACCTACTATCACCTGAGTATTTATAATTTGGCTCACCATGTTGTCTAATTAGATCAAATAGTGTTAAGTCTTAAGGGAAATAAATTCTTTTACATAACAGAAGACAGAAAAACTTTATTATCAGGCCTGTACCAGTTTTCCCATTGTGGGAAAGAATAATTAGGGTGCAGCTCTGGTTTTTGGTCTTGGGTAGTTTTAATAGGGCATCTTAGACCTCTGAAGAATATAAAAACTGAAAAATGACTTTGTCTCTTTATGTTGACATACTGGACGCCATTACCTATACGCATATTTTAAAGCATATTTTCTAAAGCTGGTTTGAAATCAAGCTGTTTACTTGTTAATTCACTCCAGACTTTGACAGCATATGACATCTGAAATCCCTCTCTAAATTACCCAAGAACCCAGCAGTGCTGTGCAAATGAGGCACCAAGGGGGAGCTCAGGCCTTCTGTGCTGGCAGTGGCCTCACCTCTAGACTCAATTTCTCTAATGCACATGTCCACCACCATCGGCCGCTTAGTGATGTGCGCTTTCACAAGTGTTGTCAGGTCACAGCTGTACACCTTCTTCACATGCTTCAAGTCTGGCTTACAGTCATTTGGAACCATCTTGGAACACTGCTTATGAACATTCAAACCACAATCTATGGAAAGAATAAAGGAAAAACTCATTATTGTTTTCATAGCTTTGAGCTGGAGTGTTTGTTTTGGCAAAAGACACTTGAGCTTAAATTTGGTTTTTGAAGTGGACTAGTCCCGAGCAATTCCTTCAAAATGGGAAATTACAGTCCCTTCTTTACTCAAGAAAATTTTGGGTATTACCTAAGAGATCAGAAGTCTAGCTCACACCTCATTGTTTAATTGCTATTGACCTCAAGACCGTAATAAGAAAAATCAGTCAAAATCAGGGTTTAAATGTTTACCTAGTATTATTCCAAATTGCCACTGTTATGGTTTGAATGTGCTTGTTTTCTCCAAAACTCATGCAGTAGTGTTGAAGAAGTGTGACCTTTTGGGAAGTGTTAGGGGTCATGGGGCTCTGTCCTTGGCCTTGTCCTTTCTCTTCCATATAGAGACAAAGCATTGGCCTTCTGCCTCCCTCATGTGAGGATGCAGCAAGAATGACATAGCAGATGTTGGGACTTGCTCTTAGACTTCCCAGGCCCAAGACTGAGAAATAAAATTCTGTTCTTTATATATTACCCTGTCTGTGGTATTTTGGTATACCAACACAAAATAGACTAATGCAGATCACTAAAAAGTCAATTTGTTTAGAGAAATATGAAAATTCTATTTGACATGAGCTGTATTTCAATATACTGGATATGAAGTGGAATGGATCTCCATGGGTAGGAGTATCCAGGACCCTCCTAAGATGATGCTGCTCCTATTTATATTTATTCATAGTCTTTTCCATGTAAGATTCTACATGACTTATCTACTAGCTGACAATACCTGTAACTATTATGTGTTACTCTATCATAGCTAACATTTACTGAGGGTTAATTGCCAGGCACTGTTCCAAGTGTTTTGCATTCATTATTTCACTTAAAATCACAAGGCTCTATGAAATAGGTACTTTTTCTTATTTTATATTAAAGGAATCCAAGAACATAGGTGTTAAGAGATTTACCCAAGGTACACAGAGGAGATGGCTCTGAGCCTGTGAATGATTCTGAACTCCACACTGTTAACATCTATACCATATTGCCTCTACTGCAGTTATTCCTCTGCACTGTAATTTGTACTGAAATGTAACTTCCATGATACCAGAGCCCAAGAGTTTCTGGTTAATATTTTGAGACATTCTTTTTCAACAAGAACACAATGAAATTTTAAAAAGGTTCAAGAGGAATACAAGTATTTTGTTTAATTAGACCAAAAAGTGACCAACTATAGCTAAATAATTCAACTAAAAATAAATGTCATTTTTATGTTTTAAAGTTATAACTCTTCTGTCTTTAAGTTCATAAAACTTTTATGTTGCAAACCCAGTCCAAGTGGGGCATATATAAGTTGTAGCCAGGTCTTAATGGAATCAACTTGAAAACCACAGAATGCCATGATGGCTGGCTGTGGTATCTGGGCAGGCTTTGGTTTTGCTGGTGTTTCTGGCATAAAGGACAGCAAGCTCCCCTCTTACACAACTGTTATGTGACTCACTGAGCCCAGGCACTCAGGTACTTTGCCTACTGTAAATGCTGGGGGTTGTCATCATCAGGACTTCTGATAAAACTTATTAGCTTCCATCTAGATTTATATGGTAGCAACAACACAATGTTTAAATGGAATTGTGTTTCTCTTATTTTCTTTCCCTATGTGTAAACCCTAGATGGATATCCAGTAGAGAGTCAAACAGTGAAATGTGATGCATCCACATAAGAGCAAAACATCTGATGGTCCAATAGTAATATTAGCCTTTTCCTCTTAAATGTTTGGGAAGTAGCTCCCATTTTGAACATCAGCAGCTCCTAAGTTTATTTGTGACTCAGTGAAAACTGGACAAAGTGATGACTAAGCTCAAACTTAGGTATTTAAAGATCAGGGAGATGTTTTCTAAACTAGTATTCTCTCTTCCCTTTGAATAATATGAAACCATGGGAAAATATTATGTTCAATTTTAGCAATAAATTTCAAAGATCAAATATCTGGCAGAAATAAGGTCTTTCTCAAGACTATAGGGGAGAGCATAAACATTAAAAAAAAAATCTTTCTATACCCTTAAGAAATTGTTTGTGCAATACAATGTCCCTGACCTTGCTCTGAAAACTGCAGTTTCAGGGACTAGCAGTGTATCAGTGTGCCATTAAGAGTTTACTTGGTTTTCATTTATGTATTAAAGTCATATAATTCCTACAATAGTCCCATTTCTCCTGGTGAAGCTCTACACTATTAAGTGGCGAGGGAGGAGAACACTGAAGACACCAAGTCCCCTTAATAAATAACCAGTACTAAGGTAAGAAGTCTGATTTAAAATATTCTTATTTTCTCAGAATGTTCTGATACGGTTAAAATAAAAACAATCCAGGGATGTTGGTGGAATAATCTTTTTTTGGGGGAAGGGGCATTTGACAAATCTCAGTGGTAACACAATAGATTAACCTATAAACTTACATTTCATAAAGAAAGAAAACAGTTTAGCAAAACAAATTGATCTGGACAAGCTTCCTTTGAATTTGAATTTTCTTTTTTATTTTGAGACAGGGTTTTACTACATAGCGCAGGCTGGCCTTGAACTGATAATCCTCCAGCCTCAGCCTCCCTCAAATGCTGGAACTACAGGTGTGCAACACCACACCTGGCTGAACTTAACTCTGTAAAGGCTACTTATTTGCTTCATGCATGTTTTAGCAAGAGGAACATCTTGCTGGGCATCAGTGGCTCACGCCTGTAATTCTAGCTACTTAAAAGGCAGATACCAGGAGGATTGCAGTGCAAAGCAGCCACGCAAATAGTTTGCAAGATCCTATCTCAAAAAAACCTGGACTGGTGGAGTGGTTGAAGGAATAGCCCCTCAGTTCAAACCCCAGTACTGCCAAAAAAAGAAGAGAAGAACCTTGACTAAGCTGCAGTAAGATATTCCCTTGTAACAGTCACTCATGTTAGAGGAGGGTAGAGTAAGCTCTTTTACTGAGATCATGAATCTAATGATTGGCATCATAACCCTCTGTGCCCCTCACTGTCTACAATGGCTGCGGTGTGCTCAGCAGCAAGCCTGGAGCTTTAGGTCCTGAAGGGAAGCTTGCTTGGTACAGTCCTAGCTGAATTCCATTTCACTCCTACAGCATCTTTGTTGGCCTGGTGGCTTGAATACCACCCAATACTTTTACATGTTTTTTTTAAGCGTGTGGGTGGTATACAAATTGCTGCTTTTGGCCAACACCCCATTATATATTCCAGACAAGTGCTTTTGCCTTGGTGGATTTTTGAAAAAAGAAATCAGAACAAAGCATGCTGTCTGAGGGATCAAAAGCAGATAGTACAAATATCTCTTTCCTAACAGGCAGCAAGCCTGCCATTCATTTCCTTTGACAATAATGTCTTGAGTGTTCAGTGGCTCAATCAGTAGCTTCTGATTTTTGCTGTAACAAATTACCACGAACTCATGCTTAAAACAACATGCATTCATTATCCTATGATTATGGAGGCTAAAATCAGTTTCCTGGGGCTAAACTCAAGGCATTAGCAGGCCTATGTTCCTTCTGAAGGTTCAGGGTGAGAAACTCATTTCTTTCTGTGCCTTTTCCATCTCTTAGCGCTACTGCCTTCCTTGGCTCATGGCCCCTTCTTCCATCGTCAAAGCATCTCGTCTCTTCTCAGACCTCTGCTTCTGTTCTTATATCATCTTTCTGTAACTCTCATTTTCCTGCCTGCCTCAAACTCTTTGGATTATGACTGCACTGGGCCCCCTCTGTCAATCATCTCTTCATCTCAATATTCTTAATTTACTCACATCTGCAAAGTTCCTAGTGCCCGAAAGGTAATGCGGTCACAGGTTTGGGGATGAGGAAGTGGTATTATTGGGGACCGTTATTCAGCCTGCCACAGTGTGAGCTCTTTCCTGAAATTCTTATTCTCTGTTATATTCTGTTTTAGATAAAGGAGATGGTTCAAAGGCCAGATGAGTCAGAGTCACTTTAGGTCTAAGAATCCCAGGGCCATCCAAATGTAATTAGTTGCCAAAGAAAACAAAACTAACGAGTCTAAAGCCTCCTGCATTAAAAAAAAAGGGTTGATGTGTGCTTATGTTGTATGTTAATATAGTTCAAATCCCACAGACATAACGTTTTTAAGGACAAAATGAAAGCTCTCCCGAAGGCTTTTCTTTTACTTCCAGCCCCTGGCTCACAGAAAGAGCTGGAGGCTGTGGGCGTAGGTGGCTGTGGGAATGGCCCTCAATCCCTGTATTACTATAATAGATGTTCCAAACATTTCTTCCAAACATGATTTGGGACTCTAGCTTATCAGCACAGATTATTTATACCCGTTGTACCTGTCCTCTATGCTAGCTGACTCAGAATTCTTACACAGATGGCCTTCATTCTTTCAAAATGTAAATGACACACATGGTTATTCTTGTAAAAGAAATGCTTGTAAGCTAGTGACAGTCATAAAATATGCAAGATACTGTTGTAGTGTCAGCTGGTCAAGGTTGTCTCAAAGAAAGGCAAACCAGGCTGACTGAAACCTCATTACTTTATTTTTTTAGAGACAGGATCTTGCTATGTAGCCCAGGTTAGCCTCAAACTAGAGATCCTCCTGCTTCCCTCCCCATGCTGGGGTTACATGCTATACCTGGCTTGAACAGGTGATTTGTGCTTTGGAAAGAGTACTCCATACCTTTGTACAAACATGATGTAAACTAGTCAACACCACCACTTCCCCAACACTTCCCAGTCCACATTGCTCCCTCCAGTTCAAAGACATGACCATAGCCTTCTTCCTGAGGCTCCTCATCCGGACTCTATGAGCTCAGCCCTAACAGTAAGGTTTCCTCATGGACCCTGACCTTGGGTGCTCCTTAACACCTTTGCACAGTCACAGTTCATAGTCTGTATGGGGGCATTCTCTTCTACAACCCGTGGTAGGGAGGTTTCTGAATGGATCTGGCTAGTGTGTCTGGAACCTAAGTGTGTTTAGTGATGCTCAGGGGAACAGTAACTCAAAGAAGAGTAGCCTGGACACCCAAATGCAATGCATTCTTGCCAAGAAAATGCAATTTAGAAATATGTACAAAACTTTCTGAGTTCTGATTTTTCATAACAGTCAACAAAAATATTTAAGAATCATGCTACAGCAGAAATGAGGATTTTGCATGTTTAAGTCTGACAGTACTTAGTTACCATTTTGAAATAATTTACTTAGCATACTTTAGTGTAAAGCTTTATAATAAAAGACATGTAAGAAGATATTTTAGCTCTATGAATTAAAAAGCAAAAAGAAATTTTATGATCAAAATTTTAAGTGATTACTTTTAAGCCTCTGCTAGAATTTAGAGTAGTTTTAATAAACAGCAAGGAGAAAATACAGTTGTTCTGTACAAGTTGAATGTTACATGACAGTAAGTACTTCATCACACAGGGGGTTCCAGCAGGCCCCACATATGTGTGTGTGTGTGTGTGTGTGTGGGCACACGTGTGTACCCACACACACACTCTAGAACAAGGAAAATTACTTTTATTTGGGGCTAAGTAGGATTACCATCTGGGAGAACACAGATTTGAGTAGTCCTAAAAATGCTGTTGCACTGGGTATTTCTTAGTGCATCAATCTTAAAGTTTCTAAATTTAAACCTAAAACACCATGGTCATATTTTATAAAAAGGATTTGAATATTCAAGATTTCAAAATGTCACAAAGAAAATACTAATGACTAAGTGAATTTTCACAATTTGGTAATCATCTTTGAAGATAAATTCACGGTTTTTTTTTTTTTTTTTAAGCTTTGGTTTCACAAAAAAAAATTTCAGTAAGGACAATCCAGCTTAATAAGTTATCTAAAATTCAGTTTCCAAGGCAACAATCATAGGTTCCAGTATGTTGCTTTAAAAAAAAAAAATCATTCTTACAAATTTAGTTACTGCAAATTCAAAGGCAAGCATTAAATATAACTGCCTTACTTTTATCCAGCTTTTAAAACAAGTTGACTTTTCTTTTCAAAAGTAAACTCATACTAGATCCCTAGAATTTTGCCTAAAGTCTAAGAAGGTTAAGGGCAGATAAAATATAAGTTCCCAGTGTGCACGGATGTTAGCGCAATCCAGGCTCTAGTCTGCTGAGTGTGTCACAGTGGATCTCCTGGTGTCTCACTCCTCACAACTGCATGGCCGCATCAATCAAACGAGGAAGGAGTGCTCTTACCTGCACACTTCACTCCCTGAGCAATGAGACCCCACATGAAGTTGGCACAGTATTCACACCAGTGCGGCCCTCGGAATGTATGGACCTGGAAAAGAACAGGGGCAAAATGGTGGGGTGGGGGGAAACACACGGGTGAGGAGATGGTTTCATATCAAAGCACTGCTATACAGGCCACTGTGGCACTGCAGAGGCAACATGGCTATGTTTAGAACTTGGTTGAGTGGAACTAACAAGTAGTTAAAATTTTTTCAGAGCTTGAGTTCATCTTTTAGAAGTGATAACTAATCAAATCAATATGCTGCAATTTACTGTTGAAAACAATTTCTTCAGTGGAATTTTCCAATGAGCCTCCTCATGCACAAGCAGCCTCTTCCACAGTTAGACAAATACCAGCATTTCTGAGTATGATGATACGAAGAGGGTTAAGAAGTGGTGATCTACTTTCTGTGATCACATCACAGATGGCAAAGGTGACACTGACAACCAAATCATCAAAAATGGCCAATGTTGGTTTGATAGTAATCATGTTAGTAAAGAAAATGAATATATTTTAGGAACTACAGAAGCTACAGCTAATCAGAAATCCTGCCTAGATATAGCAATTATTTAGTCATTCCAACTCATAAAGTTTTTTTCTGAATTGGATTTCTCTTTTCTCTAAGAAAGGAATTCTCAAAGAAGAAAGGATTTTTAAAAACGCTAAGATAGCCATAGACATTTTTCTTTTTTTACAGAGGGTCTTGCTATTTGCTCAGGCTGGCCTGAGTGCTGAGATTACAGGTATACAACCACAGCCAGCTCCTCTTAGACCTTTATGCATCGGAAGAGTTTTGTGTATAGAAAAATAAAAAGTATTTTAGCTTAGCTCAGGTGAAAAAATATTGCTAGACCAGAGAAGCAATGAATCTAAACTCTGGACATTAAAGTATAAGCTTAGAACATTAACACTAACAGTTTAAGATTTCTCAGCAAACATGCACTGGAGAAATAACAGAAAAAGAAGATACAAGGAAGTCATTAATTTGCAACCAGTTAGATTTACTTAAGATAATTTCTTATACATATGATCTTCCCCTGAAGAAAATAGTAAAACAAGAGTGAAAAAAAAATGGTGAGCCAAAAAAAGAAAAAAAAAAAGTGAAAAAAGAAAATCACAGGATAAGATGATTTCATTTCAACACAGTTATCTGCCAATACAGCTACTGCAAAGAATGAAATGAACAGCTAAGATGGTCACTTTTCACAATGGTTATATTAATGTATTGATCAGGTCTTGTACTACATGTAATTTATTTCTTCAAACATGAGATGCCACTAATGTGATGTGCTATATATGTTCCATTTAGAAAAACCATGCCAATTAAATTATGACAAGCCACTGATTGTAAGATAAATCCCAATTTCAGAGGTGTCAAAATGTAAAATAAAAGGCACATATGAGAATTAGTGAAATATGGTATGCCAGAATTCAAAGTACTATTCTGGCCAAATTAATTACCCATATATGGCTGCAGTGGACACTCAGGGCTCACTCCAAGTAGGCACATGCTTGTGACTATGACTGCAGCCGAGTGAGCTTAAGTACAAAATTTGATGTTGATTTTGAAAAGCAGGCCATAATCTCTTCTGCATCATTTATGGGAAAGAGTCAGGAATGCAGACACACTTGCTTCTCGACTGTTAATGTTGTTCAGCTCCAGTAAATTGAAAGCATTTCCTGGTTGCTGAAGCACAGCCCAAGATCAACCGCCAGACTCTCTGTGATGCCCCTATGCCGGCCTGTATTCCTTGGAGCGAATGAAACTGGATGAATTATGCAATCTCGTTTCACTCTGAAAGGAACATGAAGCAGACAGCACCGACTTGTGCTGTTACACAGTCGTGAAATCAGTACAGGGCTGTGAAGTTAGACATTCTGGGATACAAACTGGCCTTCAGGCTGCTAGACTTCAGGGTAAACCAGTACTATGTACTGGTAAGGTGAATAAAAACAGAATGAAAGTATGGAAGAAATCTCAAGAATCATTTTGTACCCACCAGTTATCTCATGCAGACTCTGAAAGCTACATTTGGAAAGCAAAGAGAGTGGATGGGTGTTCTGTATATTATTACCTAAACAAAAATGCTTTTGGCAAACAGCACCCACTACTGAGATGTTATAACAGAACCCATTCCCTTCCTCATCTTCCTGAAAGGAGTGGTGAATGTGGCATTCTGAAAGGCATGGGGCACTTGTTCATTTTACCTGTGCTGGAGGAAGGTGGGAGAAGGGTAGAGAGAGGATGGTTAAGAGATACAGAGGTGCAGGTAGAGCAGCCGGAGCAGTAATTTCTAATGTTCTATAGCACAGAAGGGCAACTATGGTTGACTATTAGTTGTATTTTTCAAAACAGCTAGTAAAAAGGATTCTGATTGCTCCCAACACAAGGAAATATGTTTGAGATGATGGAGATGCTATTACCTGATCTAGTCATTACACAATGTACACGTGTATTGAAATATTACACTGTACCCATACACATGTGCAAGTATGTGCCAATTAAAAAAAGCAGCTCTTTAGTTGCACTGTCTCACTTGCACAATGGAAACAGGCACTATTCCTTGCAGACAATTCTACAGGAACTGACATCTAACAATTTTATTAGATATGGTAGTATTTTAATTACCTGTTTTAAAAAGGATTCAGACAAAATGTAATGGGCATTCAAAATATAATTAAAAGGTCAAAAGTTGCACCTTGGGGACTGTTTCTGCTTGGGAGGATGCTAACAGACAAGTAGGTGTGACTTTGGGGAAAAAAGGTCTGAGTGGGTTACAAGGGCTGCAGAGTTTTGGTCCCAAAAGATCACAACTTTTTTTTTTTGTGTAGTGCAAGGGATCAAACCCAGGGCCTTGAGCATGCCACACAAGTGCTCTAGCACTGAGCTATACCCCTGCCCTTAGTTTTTTGAGACAAGGTCTTGCTAAATAGCCCAGGCAGGAATTTGTGATCTTCCTGCCTCTGCCTCCTGAGTGCTGGGATTACAGACATGCACCACCGTGCCAGGGAACAGTGAGAAACTTTTGCCTGAAATGTCCTACCCTATCTGTAGTGGATGCCCAATAGAGATGTACAACTTGTCTGCATTTGAAAAATCAAAACTACTGCATACACAACTAATAGACATTTGGTGACATTCTGTGTCTTTTTTTTTTTTTAAACAGGATTTTTAATCTAAAGGACTTCAGACTTTTGTGTTTTCTTAAGTCTCTGTTTTGGCTTTGTCTCTTCTCATTCTCTGAGGCTGCCAGTGCTTTTTTTCTTCCTTACACCCTGTTTCCCCTTTCAAATCACTGATTCTTTATTGTGGACTAGGAAATCTAGTAACAGAATTTTGCTAATACTGGATGTAAACCAAAAAAATATTCTCTCTGGTTTTTTTGTTTTTTTTTTTTATGGCACTGGGGCTTGAACTCAGGGCTTCATGCTTATTAGGCAGGTACTTTACTACTTGAGCCACTTCACCGGCGCTTTCTCTCTGGCTCTTTCCTGAGTTTCTAGCAGGGGAGCTACTGGACAGTGGCCCTGGGCTGAATGAGAGAGAGCAGCATCTCACTTTATCCCATTACATCCATTAAGTTGCTAGTCACCTGTCAGCAGAAACCAGTCTGTTACCAACTGACTTTAAAGATATGCACTGGCTCTGTACAGTGGGGGAGTGGCCAATTCCTTTATAATCAGCACTGTTTTCCCTCAATTATTTAAACAAATCATTGCATCAGTTTACCCAAAAGTGGATTCCCCTGGGGTAAGACAATTCAAAGAGCATGCAGTGTCAGCATGTAACATTATTAGTGAAGTCTGGGTTGGTCCCAAGAAAAGTGACCTTGTAAGTAGGCTACAGATAAAGCTGTTGGTCCACGTAAACAAGCGAAAGTGATAGTACATTGCATGAACCACACCTTAATGAATGGCATAACCAGTTACTTTTAAAGCCCTCTTCTCTTTTGCAATTGTAGACATCTTTATCTACAATTTTTGTCTACAAGACATCTTTATTACCACGGCATTTGAGATTGCTCTTCACTGTGAACAGTTCATGTAAATTGCTCTGTTAAACAGAAAACTGGACTAATTAATGGACCCCAATAGTCTTCCTACTGGAGGCATGGTCAGAACCAAGCTGTATAGAATAGATAGGGACACTGGGGGCTCAGACCAGGGTTGTGTGTCTCCTGGGACTGACCTCAGTGTACACTGAAGCCATTCTCACGAGGGTCTGCTGTCATACAGACTGAAACTCTGGCTTATAAAATAAGGAGATGAATATGTCTTCTTCTCACCAGATTTACAGCATCCATATATCCAGATGCATGTCACTTACAGAAACAGCAGAAGAAAAACAAAAGCAAAAACCAAAACCCATGCCATGGGAAGAGGAAGAAAAAGGGAGCATTCTCTTCATTATCCCTCCAAGGCAAACACTCTCTTTAGGAATAGGAGTGAATGGGCATGGTGCCAGGCCTTTGCAAATGTAAACCATGTTGGATGTGAGGAGAACATCAGGTGGTGGTGACATTTCATCTGGGCAGCTCTGATCAATCAGTCCTCCAGCATGGCATTGGGTAAAGAGGGAGAGACAGATGATCAACGCAAACTAAGGGAAGGCGGGGAATGTAGGCAGCTGGGTAATTAGAGTGCACTTTTTTTTTTTTTTTTTTTTGGAGCTAATGCCTTGCCATTTAGCACACACTGGCCTGGAACTCATTATGTATTCTAGACTGACCTCGAACTCTCCCTCTGCCTGCCTCAGTATACCAGGTTCTGAGATTACAGATGTGCACCACCAGACTTTGCTATAATATACTGTTTTAAGTGACCAAGTCACACTAAGATATTTTTAAGTTCTTTAATTCATATGAATGAAATTTATTATTTTAGCTCTAATCCTGTTCAGTTAAAGTATTTTTGATGTATAAGTAGGCCATAAAATGAGAATGCATACAACGCTGTTCATGACCATTAGCAGTAAATATGTGAAACTGTACGGTGACCCCTACAAAAAGCAGTGGTAGAGGGGCAGTAAGGAGTGTCTTTAGTATCAA